GGGAGTCTGGGAATGATGATGGCGCCCACCCCAGGAGCAGGGGAGTCCAGGAAGGACTATGGCAGCCGCCCCAAGTGCAGGGGAGTCTGGGAGGAACTTCAGTGCCAAGTCTCCCACCGCTTGGTGGTCTCCATCTTGGACCCCTGTAGACAGCTCAGACTCAATCTGCCCAAAACAGAACTCGTTGTCCTATTTCCTTTCCCCAGCCTCTCTTGAACTTCTCACTCTATCTCTCTTGAAGGCATCGACCCCATTCTAGCCACTGACATTTCATCCTTGAATGTCCTTCGTAGTCTGGCTCCTGCGACCTCCGCTTCCAACACAGTAGGTCACTTAGTTAATCAGCATTTATTAAGTGCCTCCAATGTGCCAGTGCTAAGCCCTAGGGATACAAAGAGAGGCAGATGACAGTTCCTGCCCTAAGGAGCTCCCAGACTAACTGAGGAGGCACCATGCAAACAACAATGTACAAACAGCTCTAGCCACGACCCATTGGGGAGAATCAACAGAGTGAAGGCGCACCTGGACTGGCCTTTTTGCCATTTCTCCCACTCAGGATTCCATCTCCTCTTCCTGCGCCTTGGCATAGGCCACAGGCTGTGCTCCATTCCTCACCTCGATTCTTTAGAATCCCTGAGTTCTTTCAAAAGGCGCCTCCTCCAGGAAGCCCTTCCTGTTACCCCATTTGTTAGAGTTCTTTCCCTCTTCATGTTGTCTGTCGTTTACTGCTCCCTTACCTGGTGTGAAAGGGGAGCTGCCCTGGGCCTGGGATGCTCCCCCAACTCCCCACCACCCCTGGCCTCTTCCAAGACTCAGCTAACATCCCCGCTTCTGCAGGAGTCCTTTCTGGGCAGCCCTTCACGGCGAGCTCTGTTCCTCATTGTGGTTCCCTGCCGTGTTCTCTGCCTCCATCTTGTTGGACAAGAGTGGTTTGGGCATGGTCTCCCCCATTAGGCTGGCAGCTCATTGGAGGCGCAGACCCGTGTTTTTGCTTTCTTCGTGTTCCAGAGCTTAGCGGCACAGTGCCTGGCACACAGCAGGGCTTGATAAATGCTTGTTGAATTGAGTTTGGGTAGGTCAAAGACCGGATTCTAGATCAGGCTGTGGGTGGGCCTAGGTTGTCTCCAAGGCCTCATCCCCCTCTGAGAACCCTGGGTGGTTGCCCTGATCTTGGTTTAGAAGGTAGGGCCTGATGTCGTCCCCAGAGTGGAGGGCTGTGTGCAGATCCTGCCGTTCCTCCAAGGTCTCAGCGGTCTTGTGCAAAGCCTAGGATTATAATGCAGTCCATGCTGCTCCTCATAAATCTTGGTGGTCGTTTATAGAGCCTGGTGGCATTGGTTTGCAGAGCCCACCCCCCTCGGTA